AGAGAGAGAGAGAGAGAGAGAGAGAGAGAGAGAGAGAGAGAGAGAGAGAGAGAGAGAATCGAAATTGAAATTTTAACTAAAATTCTTAAATTCTCTTGAAATTTGACTTTACTTATTATTAAAATATTATTAAAAACATTGTAGTTCATGAAATAATTCTTAATTGAAAAGTAAGAATATTTTAATAAATATGTTGATTCCCTTACTGATAATTATAATTGTGAAAGAAATTAATTGTGATGTTCGCCACATAATATATCTCATGAAGAGTAAATTTTTCTCCGGAAAACTTGGGAAGACAAGCGATGACTAGAAAACTATTTTATGTGATTAAAAATGTAAATTGCTTAGGAGTGCAGTTGTTTCCTTAGTCTAAATTATCTGCTTGTAAGAGATGTACGTTCCTGTAGACAACTATGCAAAATACTTAATAGAGGAATAGACAAAATTTTATAACATAATAAAATCTTAGTATCATAATATAATCAGTAAAATCTTTAAAATATAACGATTGATTGCTTTAAAAAGTAATGTATACCGTGATTGTATAATAGCTCATGCAGACAGAATGTGGCAATATTTAATTGGTAACTGTGTGTTGCTTCTTGCCATGTTCTGTTTATAAAAGATCAATATGGACATACAAAATAAGGTTGTATTAAACTACTATATTAGAAATGAAACTATATAATAGTATATATTAGAATAAGTAAAATTGCTGAAGATAGTAAATAAGATGTATACTTATATTTAATTTATATGGTTTAATTTAAATATTTTATATATAGTTTTATATATTTATATAGTGTACGATAGTAGAATTTAATTAGAAATATATATATATATATATACCTTTGTCAAGCTAAACAAAAGATCGTTGTTCGATTATACGTTCGAGTTCGCGTCGGACAAGCTTCTGAATATATTCGAGTTTCGTTATAAGGTATTCATCCATTATTGTATTATTGTTGTTGCTTGTCTTCTTGGTTTCTCTTTGAAGCGTAAACAAGCATACACGACACGAAATAATGTGTCTTGTGTGTACATATACACCAATGAATTATATTCTACATGTATTTGATGATATGTAAATTCTGTTTATATATATATATGTGATGAAATAATACTCTAAAAATATGTATAGATGTGTTGATATACATAACGTCATGATATAATAATTTATAACCAAGTATATTTGTTTATGGATTTGATTTCGATTTTTCGAGACTTGGATCTTCCATATTGGACTTCCATATTGAAGGATAATAAAATTTTCCAAAGAAGTAAATATATTTGGTTTATTGTACTGAAAGTGGATCACAGTTCTATGTGGCTAATCTTGCACGTTCAAAGCAAGTTATGTTTATGATACAACACAAGACCCTTATGTGTAGAACACAAATTTTTTATGTTTTTATTATCCACTATATTAATAATGGAGCAATGCTTTTCAAATTAAACAATTTTTATTTCAATTATTAAGTTATTTATTCGTATTCGTTTGCATTTACGATGTTAAAATAGAGAATAATTAGAGATTACATGTCATTTTTTTCATGGTACTTTTATTATTTTAAAATTTTTATTGGATGTAGCAATGCTTGCTGCGCGCCAAAAAGCTGCGTGAATTATATTATTAGCTGCGTGAATTAGATTAGATATATATTTATTGATTCATGCCGATCTTTATATTTTTTGTAGATATCTCCCAAACAATACAAGTCACCCCAAAATTATCCTGAATATGCTTAAAATTATCTAAAATGCTTAAAGAATGTCTCAGAATATCATGGATGTATATACATAGGATGTTTTCATCCTGTTATTTCATCATTTTGATCTATGACATCTTGTGTTATTTCGGCTTGTGTTCTTTTCATTTTTCTTTTTTTTATTATAATGTAAAGCTTAGTAAACCATCTTACAGGAAAATTATCTCTCTCTAGCTTAAACACTATAAGAATAATTATTTTTTAAATATTTTTCATACTATTAGAGTACAGAATAATTAATTAATTTTTAGCGTTTTTAAATATTACGAACACCTTGTCCTTTTTGAGAAGGCACACAGAAACCGAGCCGCTCAAAATTTCTTTTCGTATCGGTGTTGGAGTTTTTTAGAATTTAGATAATAATAATATAATGTAATCATTATAAGTAAAATATAACATGAATAATATAACAATAAATTTATATATAATAATCAGTATTGATTTAAAATCTCGATAATTGCTTCTTTTAAATTAAGTTTTCTTAAAATTGATAATATATATTATAATTAAAATAAATAACATTTTTTATATAATTGCTCGGTTTTCGTTGACATTTTTATTAGTGCTGTCAATTTTACTCTGAATTTTTTTAATAATAAAACAATAATAATAAAAACAAATAATAAACAAATAATATAAACAAATAATAATAAAAATAAACAATAAAAACAAAAAATGCATCGCTGCTTTATAATTATTTATTATTTACTTCCAAATATAGGGCAAATGTAGTTATTCGGATAATATCCGCGGATTTAGGACGTCCGGATATAGAAATAACCACCTTTTTCTAAAAAAAAAAGCCAAGTGCACGCGCTTTCCTCTATAAATAAATTATACAAAAATAATAATTAAATAATAAAAATAAAAAATTATTAAATAAAGATTATTCAATCGAAACAAACCTAAATACACACAGAAATACTCGAGTTATACCGACAGCACTCATTTTTATATGCGATATGATGATATCGCGATTACTATTATGATTTGTAATTTTTACGGATTTAACGCGACTAATAATGCAATTTCGTGATTTAGTTGTTAGAAAAATAGCTCTTGCTAATAGCAATATTATAATTGGAAATGTATCATTTTCTCCTCAGATCCACAACCTCGATGGATGCCATTGCATCTAACTTATAATGTCTCGCTTTCTGTAATAAGAAAACAGCATTCAGTCGTTTTGAAAGGAATCAGGAAGATATACAATATATGTTGAATATATATGATGATCAGTTGTTGACAATACAATCGAAGAAATAATAATTCAAGAATGAGTACATTTAAAATATAGAATAGAATTACTTCATAAATTTTGTTTTCGATAGAAAGAATATTTTTTAAATATAGTTAATGTAAATAAAAAAGTTTGAAACCTTAAACTTACTGTGTATAACGGTTGTTCAGTAGGATGAGGATGGAACCCAGTTTCTCTGCAATTTGCGATGAAATCTAAACCATAATCAGGCGTCAAGACGAAGAATCCCGTTCTAAAATGAATAATTTTAATAATTTAATTTGTAAAACTTGTTTAAAGAAAATAAGGAAATTGCAAACTTCTTACATGTAAACTTATGTTTCGTAATTATACTATGCTAATATAAGAATAATTATATGTAACTTCCACTCCGTTCTTTTTTTTTCATTCTATTTAAAATTTTTATTTATTATACATACTCATCGTATTTAGGCGCGCAGACTATTGCTATTGCCTCGGCCATCAGCAGCTGATAGGCACAGTGTGTGTGCAAATCCACACTCGACAAAAATGCAGTTTGTGTGGGGTGGGTCTGTTTGTAATGGTAACATTTAGTTTAATAGTGAAGCAATTGTATAACAAAGAGGGTATGTTTTTTAATTAAATAATTATAATTAAACATTATAGAAGAAAGAATTCGATATAATTGTCATATAAATAAATTTAAAATATACGTACATGGATCCAACCGAGGGTGATTAGATTATGTTGGTCCTGATAATCAAAGAGATCTTCTTCATTGTGCGTAGTGCAAGAATCTGGGGTGCTGGTTTGCTCCGGAATGAGCAGATGCGTCACCAGCAATTTATTTCTCTCCAATTTTCCGGCTAGAATGCCGCAGGTTTCTTTATTGTTTATTGTATTACTAAAGGCAAGCATTAGGAAATCGTGCATCAATTTGTTCGACAGAATAACATCGCGCAAGGATAAACCATCGCTCATCAATAAAGAGGGCTTGGTTGAACGATCCACTGTCGGTGTTTTTCTAAACAAAATATGTCATACAACGATATTTTATACAAGTTCGTCATCTTTCCTCAGAAATTTAAATATTGTAGAATTTAAGGGTATATATATATATATATGTATATGTAATTTTGAGTAAACAAGACTTACGAATCTTTGAAGATAAATGTCTTGTCGTTACCATTCGAAGGACTTATCACAGGCTTAACAGGAGGTACAATAGGAAATAACTTGCTCTTTGTTTCTTCTGGTAACACTACATTTGTGCTGATGGCAGCCGTTGCTGCCTTAATGGCAGCCATGGCTGCTATTTTATTTCTTTTTTCCTCTTCCTCCTTTTGCCTGGACAAAAACCAAATAAACAACAAAGATAGAATGCTATATAAATTCTTTTGCTATTTCTTATATAAGAGAAATAAATTATTATTTTGAAATACTTTTGAAGTTCTTCTTGTTTTAGGCGTTCCATTTCAATTTTTTCTTTTTCCTTTAAGTCCTCTATATACTTGTCTAGATCTATCTGATATTGTTGCATTAACTGTTTTTTCAACTCTTCTGCTTTGGCAAAAGCAGTTCTCAAGCTGCATTTATTCATGTTCCTGTCCTTGGCTGATATACTGTTGTACTGTGGGTGCTTTATAATTTTATCCACAAAAAGTCTGCCCAAATAAATATAACATATTTTCTATAATATTTGATTACACAATGACTCATTTTAATATTTATCATTCAATAAAAATGAGCAAAAAACTTGTAAAAATTAAATCTATTATGTAATAGGCAAATAATAAAGGTGATCACTAATATTACCTACGTTATAAATTTCATATATAGAGTATAAGCACTCTCATAATCTTGTTCTTCCATGTGCATATGAGCTAATCTAACCATTTCTATTCCAGATCGATAATACCTGAAATTCAAGCTTGGTTTATAAAGTGATATTTTAATTATTTGATTCAATTAGTATAGTACAATTAATTCTCTGCTGATAATGTGCAGTTGCGGAACATATCCAGCAACATCTGCCTGGGGTCAGATCCAACCTCAACATTGTCAGCAGAGGGTTAATGAAATATTACTTTAAAATTACTCATACAAAATCTATATATATATATATTTATATATATCATATATATATATATATATATATATATATATATATATATCCCAAATAGCATAAATATCTAAAATATTTCTTAAAGATATCCCAACGATATCTAAAAGAGGTAAGATATTTTTTCTTAAGATATTTTATCTAAAAAATAGATATCTTTAAGATATTTTTTAGATGTATATACTAGTTGTAGTATATAGAGAGAGACTGTAATATTAAATATATGTACTTATGTATGACTGTAATGTTAAATATATATACTTTAAGGCATTCTGACCTGTGAATGGGTATATGAGGATCTACACTCACTGAAGAGGCATACTCGGAGAGTGATTTCAATCTTTCTTTGGGATCTGTACCTAGATCCTTCCACAATTGCCTCTTATCCATTTTGTAGGTTATGCCTACACTGTACAGTGACAATTACTTATTAGAAATTTTTAATTTTTAAAATAGATTAGATTTTATAAGTATCCAATTTTTCTTTCAATGCTTCAACGTCGAAGATACTTTTGTCATTTTAACGTAAATTGGGAAAGGAAAATGAGAAAAGAGAAATACTCAATCTTCTCGCTCCTCCTGTCAAAACTCGTCAAACCCGACTCACTGTGATTACTCCGCTAGGTTCGGAACTAGCGTCTGGACTGCACCTTATATAAGTGTGCAGAGCCATATATCAATATAAGAATAACAATATATCTGCTAGATTAGCTTTGAGATAAAAGTTTATCCGATCTGTTATTTGGCCTTGCTGTTGAAAAAATATAAATTTCTTTTATCTGTCGAGAGTTAACTGTTCGAAAATAAAAGTTTATCTTACCTGATATTGAATTGCACTATTTCGAACAAAAGAGACTGTTTAATAAATTATTCAGTTTGCTATTTGAAAATACACGCCTACTCTATCGTTGAGTCATACTACAATCTCGACTTTTGATTTATGGCCAATCGTTTACAGGATACCTATTATATGGTCTGTTCTTTTCAGCTACACTACTGAACTGGTGCAATAAGTAGAGATGCCCGATTCTTAATCGATTCGATTCTTTCCCTAACAAATTTAGGGAAAAAGGGTTGTTCGTGCTGCTTGCATACTTTTCGCTTTTAAAAAGAAGTGGACGCCTAATTAGACGCTTGGAAGGAATAATCGAGTTGGTTGTCACGTTTTTGCTTCTTCGAAACATTCCAATATACTTCTGTCTAGTTTTAAATAAACGAAAAGTGCGAAGAGTGCAAACAACACGAATAAGCCTATTTTTGGAGAAAGAATCAAATCGATTCAGAATCGGGCAACATTGGCAATAAGTTAGGGCCTTTGCACGTAGAAAAATTTTAACAGTAACCATAAAGTCGTAAGAAAACTGACCAATCACAGTCGATCATTCTTCGAACGCAAGGAGAATAATCAACTCTGATTGGTCAGTTTTCTTACGACCTTACAGTTACGGTTAAAATTTTTCTACGTGCAATAGCCTTTAGAGTGAGAAAACATACTTGTCTCACTTTAACTTATTGTACTAGTTCAGCAGAACTAGTTTAGCTGAAAAAAAAAAAACAGACCAATGGACTTTTTCGGAATCAATTTCGATCGGAAACATTCAGTTATTTCCTAGATTTCTATTGGCTTGGTTTACATCGTGCATTTGATACGTGTACTAAATAGTAACTTTCTATTAAATAATCTTAATATCGACGATAGATATAAACAACGGTATATTAAACGGTATATAATACTCATCAGTGTCGGTCTACAACCTCGCTTTAAGCTTTAAGTCGTAAGCAACTGACCAATCACAATCGATTATTCTTGAGACGTAAAGAGAATAATTGACTGTGGTTGGTCAATTGCTTAACCTTTAGAGGGTCGGGATTTGAGAGGGCATATCCGCCTTAGTAAAGTGGTAAAAAAGGTATCTTATATCATGGATTGACCATACACTAAGTATCGATCATGGGTAGCGCCAATATATTGGCTTTCCGGTCCGGAAGGGATCAGCCCGTATATAAAATTTCAAATTCGAAAAAAATACTTCTTTCACATCAATTTGTAAGTGTAAATATGCGTTTCCGATGTATTTTTCGACGTAGAATCCAAATCTAATGTCAAAAATACAATAAACTTGAAAACAACCCCTATAAAATTACAAAAACTACCCCTTTTATCACGCAATTTTAATTTTTTTTATTTGAAAGTGCAGATATATGTTTCCGATGTATTTTTCGATGTAGAGTCAAAATCCAATGTCAAAAACACAATACACCTGGACATAACCCCTATAATATTACAAAAACTACCCCTATCATCCCGTATGATTTCGAAACACCCTCTTCTTTTGAACACGGGCTTGGGACCGGCTGTGGCAGAATTATGTTTCTTTTTTTTTATTTTTTTTATTTTTGATT